AGTTAAGTGTGTGTAAAAGAATAAAGACCTAGAATTTATAAACCACCTTTTATTTCAAAAGGTTTCAAACCCAATGAAGTACCTTTCAGAGAGAGTTATTGTTGTGATACATTTGTGCACAGCAAGGACTCACAAAGCGAGATAACAAATCAGCAGAAGCATCACTGGACCCAAAATGTTAATTCTGCTTTCTCTCAGATGCTGCCAGACCAGTTTCTCCAGCAATTTCTATTTTTGTAAATAAGGGGAGAAATACTAGCGACAATAATCGACTGCTTTTCTTCAAATAGTGCTGAGGGATCTTTTATATTCTAGCAGAGGTCCTGGCCTCGTGATAATATCACTGGGCCAGCAATGTAGAAGTATGGGTACAAAGTCCCACCAGCTCTTGGAATAATTTTGGGGTTAACAGGTTCAAAGGGTACGGGGAGAAAATGGGAACAGGGGACTGAGTTGGATGATCAACCATGGTCATCTTCAATAGTGAAGCAGGCTGAAAGGGCCAGATGACCTACTCCTACTCTCTATGTTTCTATATGGGCTTTTCGGAGAGCAAAGACCAGTTTAACGACCAACAGTTAAGCACATAAATTTTACATTTTTTTTTATTCTGCATTCACTGCATTTGTTGGGGAAATGACCCACCTTTTATTGGAAGATTTTGCTGGCATTTCAGGGGGTCATGGGATCTATCTGCTGTAGTTGGTCGAGACTGTTTTTGAGCAGGCGCTCTAGACTGTAGCTGAAGCAGACTATTCAAAATAGACTCTGTTAGCTTTGCAGTTTACAGAAGAAATAAACTTTGATTGTAAAATACACTTTGTTGTGAGTTCTGCAATAAATCATAATCTACCTTTAATTCATGGGCTGGCACAGTGTTGTTAGTAGGTAGTGTGCTGGTTAGCAGGCTGAAGGTGAGAATATGTTGGCAGTTTGGCTGTCTGTTCTAAGGTACATTTTGTGCTTCCGTGATTAGGAAGAGATGGAACACAGGTACTACATATTTGAAGTACCAGTCAGCTGAAGGCAGTAGCTGAATAATAAAAATGTCAATGCACCATAGCAAAAAATATTAGTTCTGCAATAAAAAGCTATGATACTAGAGTATAACAAGGTGCAGAGCTGCATGAACACAGCAGGCCAAGCAGCATCATAGGAGCAGGAAGGCTGACATTTCGGGCCTAGACCCAATTTTCTGATGCTGCTTGGCCTGCTGTGTTCATCCAGCTCTACACCTTGTTATCTCAGATTTTCCAGCATCTGCAATTCCTACTATCTATGATACTAGAGTAATGTATTTGGACTTTAATCAATCAAAGCTGAGGCCACACTTTGAATGTTAGATCAGACTCAATGAAACTCGGCTGCAGCCTGTGACACTACGCCCTGAATGTTTCAGTTGTAATGGCCATGAAATTAACAATGTTCACTGTCAATATGTTGTGAAGCCGACAGCAATTTCACATACAGAGTTAGACTAGGAAGCAAGAGGTTGCTGTCATTGATTGAACGCTGCTCTTACTGTTGACACACATGCATTTGGAAATCTTAGGAATTGCTTAACTTGACATGAGCTTCCATTATTTACACAATTTTCTTCACTGTAAAGGGTCCTAAACTACTTGGCTGAATGAGAAGCAGCTGGCTTCTTAGTAGTGTACCAGGTCATAGTTACTGCTAAAGACCTTCTCTGCACATGAAACATAATTTTACATTTGTGGACTATCATATTTCTCCATGATGGGAAAAAATATCCATTGGTTTATAAAATAATAAAAATTATAGTTTATGATATTTCACTTTCTACCATACTTCCATGAGTGTAACTGTAAAATGTTAAAACCTAAACAGTACTGTGTGTTTCACTTCCGGAGCTTCTGTCTGTGAGAACCCTTCATTGTATTTGGCTGTTTAGCCTTTTCGCTGGCACCCCTTTTGCTGATGTCAGAGATCCCTGTTGTTGATGCCAGAATAAATGTAACAGTGGGAAAGGTGCAGTCCAATCATTGTTAGATATTTCAGGGCAGCTTTCTTCAAAGTCGGCTGTGAATCCTATCACTTTGCCACTGAATACAAAATCCGGACCCGATTCTTGGACTGAGTCTTGATTCTTGAAGTCATACCACAACCGCGTGAGCTATGCCTATTCATGTTGTGAAGCAAGCTCTGAAGACAGAGAAAATTTAGAAAAGGGAATTTGCATCTGGAATTTGGGACTTGAATTTATGAAGAGAATTTTGCCTGATCTCAGAAAAGGAGTCTGAAATGACACACAATCCACGTTTCCTTTTAAGTCTTGCAAATACTGACTCACTCCCAGCAACCCAGTGTAATTAGTGTGTTAAAAATGTGAGGTTTTATAAGATTGCTATATTTTGGTCATTGTCGTTAAGTCAGGGTAAAAGAAGGAATAAAGGGAGTCCTGTGATGTGCTGGAAATTGACCCTTCCCCAGACAGCAGCGAAAACAGCAATATTGAATATTTTTAAGGCAGAGGTATTAGACTTTTGATTAACAAGGGAATCAAAGGAAAAGTGGAGTTCAGTCCACAATCAGATCACTCATGATCTTATCGAAAGGTACATAGATAAGAGGAATGATGGGCTTATGGTAATCGGATCTGTCTTGTCATGTGATTCCCAAGTAAAGAACGCTCATGATATCTCCACCCAGGAGGTTACCTTAAGTCCATCATTCTTCCCACTCCTGGACCCCTGCCCCTGACCCCTGCACCTCTCCCAGTCCATCTTGAAAATGTATGCTGGGTAACCATGGATCCATATCCAAGGACAGTATTTAAAAATGGAGGAAGAAAAGCGAAGATATCTCTCAAATACCCAGCAAAATGGGTAGACATAGGAACAAGAATATGTTTCAGCATCACATTGAAACCAACATGTGGCAGTCACAGGGATCTCGGGTGATCACTGAAGTACAGGCAGGTACACATTACAATATTTAAAAGACACTTGTTTAAGTACATAGATAGGAAAGATTTAAAGGGATATGGACCAAACACAGGCAAATGGGACTGGTTCAGTTTAGGAAACCTGGTTGGCACTGGCAAGTTGGGCCGAAGGGCCTGTTTCCGTGCTGTGTGACCCTATGATTCTATATATGTTAAGGAACACTTTATGTGCAAAATATTTTCAAATAGTAGACCACCTGTGATCTATGTACAATGATGAATTTCTAGATATGTGCACATTTATAACAAAATAGTAACACGTTCATAACAGCTTAACTAACTGAAATTCAGAATATTGAAGTTCTTTGACCTGCAGGTAGATTACTTTGAAAGCAAATGTCTCTTGACATTCTAGACATGCATTGTGGAAATGCCAACTGAGGGTATGCCATGCTGTTGGCAATACCATCTCTTGAATGAATCGGTCAACCAAAGCTCTGTCTGCTAACTTGGCTAGATGTAAGTGATATGTGGTCATTTTTTCAGTGTGGTTCTGGGCACCTCTCCCCAGTCCTCTGGCCAATATCTATTCACAAAACAACAGCTTCATAAAGGGATGATATGACCATTTCTCACATTGCTGTTTGTGGGATCTAGTTGTGGATTTGTTGACCGGCACATTTAAATACTGGAACAGCGACCACACATCGAAGTGATTTCAGTATCTGCCTTGGGGCATCCGCGTGTTCCGAAATCCATCTCTTTGAAATGGAGTGTCAGGAATGTTAACTGGGAAAGACCCATACAACTCCCCTGACAAAATATTGGGATTACCTGCATTAAATTGTCTTTGGCAAGTTGAGGTTTGTTAACATGTAACCAATGGCAGTCATTTACATCCTAGGAGGTTTGAAGATCTGCTCTGTTCACCCAGACCAATCTGCAATCATGACTGAAAATGTCAACAATGTTCAGTCACTACTGTAGATGTCTCCTTTACTGCCAGGTTGCCCCGTTGCCTGTAATAGAGCAAATTCACTAAAATAATCCCCTGATCTGATTTGCGAGAAGTTGCAATGTTATTGTTTATCAGCACAAATTCTGTTATACATTTAACTACACTTTGTTACTGTACTATATCTGGGACAGATACTGCATTGTTTCTGAAGCTTTGCACATCTGGTAGGTGGTGAGGAAGCAGGATTCCCAACACCAAAACTCAGGAAGTTCATTCCACGCGCGAACCACTCTGTGTAAACATAATTGCCCCTCGTGTCTTTTTAAATCTCTCTCACCTCTCACCTTAAAAATCCCCCAACCTAGGGAAAAGACAACTAACATTAACTCTATCTATACCTCTCATTATTTTATAAACTTTAATCAGGTCGCCTCTCTACCTCCTATGCTCCAGTGAAAATAGTCCCAACAAATCCAGACTTTCCTTATAATTCAAACCTTCCATATCCAGCAACATCCTGGTAGATCTCTTCTGAATCCTCTCCAGCTTAATAATATCCTTCCTATAACTAAAAAGAGATGGTTCAGTCGTGCGTAAGCGGGGTAATGGGCATTTTGCAAGTGCTGAAAGATTTTGGAATTGTGTGATTTATCCTTCTTAATTCAAAACTCACGTTTCCCATTTGGCACTAAATCCTCATCTTGCATGTTACTTATGATATTCATTCACTCAAGTTGCTGCTTGGTGTAATTTTGAATCATTAAAAAGAGGAGATTGTGCCTTTACAACGCCAAAGCGTGACTTTGCCTCCTGCTCAGTGCAAGTCTGAAAAGATATCCCTGGTGATGAAGGAAATTCTCCGAAACGCGTCAGGCATGTCCTGCAGGTTTGAATTCCTTTCCAGGCTGTAATACAGCGAACAGTGAGGGAGGGAAGGGGGTGGTTTTTGCTGGGGGTTGGCAGGGCTGAGCAAAACCCAGGAACAGCGCTCCCGGAAAGTTTTAACATTCAATTAGTAAAACAGCACACTCCGTCTGGCATCAGTGCTGCGTCGTCACTGACGCCCAGTCATATCTTGGAATGGCTTACGCACGTCTTATAATCATAGTGTGAGCAGAGAGAGAGGGAGGGAGAGAAAAGGAGAGCCAGTTTCTAAATCCCATTCCAAATCCGCCTTTCATCGCCGCAATAATTCACGAGTCTGCCTACTGAGGCAATAAACCCTGAGCTGAATCCACGTCCAACAGCACAAACAGCGAGCCCACTATGGACTGGATGGCACGGTTCCTAGGAAAGAAATGTATTTGAAAGGACTGTTTATTTGTACAAAGCATCCAGCCTTGTGTAAACCACCTGTGTGTGAGTAAACATGGGCAACTGTGTCAAGTCACCGCTTCGAAACCTCTCTGAAAAGGTAAGTTGTGCAATTTGAAGCAATTCCCTTTTATTTTGCAAAAATGCTGTGCAAGGGGCGAAAGGTTTCGAGTGCGTTTATCCTAATGCACACAAGACAATCATTAGCATGCATGTTGGAAACCAGTTTATTGAGATGAGGGAGTCGGCACTTAGACATAAGATAACTATCTGGAGTTGGAGAATTGGCGTGTAACAGTGTGAGCGTTTTGTGCAGCGCAAATGCACTTTTAAAGCCGCGACTGGGTCTGATGAAGTATTGTTTTGCAGGATAACTCATCGGTTATTTGCAATGCACGTGTCGAATTTCCCTAAATACCCCTGCAAATTTTAAAAAAAAGTGTACATTTTCAAGATTAAACGATGCGGATTTTAAGTACAGGACCTGCATTTCATCGGTAGTTAAATAGAAATGCACCGAGGATGGGAAGGAATTGCAAATTGAGAAGTTTTTAGCTTAAATTTAAGCCAAAGTTTAAATAAAAAGCATGCAAATTTTAACATCGGAGTTTGTTTTAAAAAAAAAAACAAAATGAATATCTAAGCCGGTTGGGCTCTAATCTGTTTTATATGTGCTGGCGATTGGGGTAAAAGATTCGACAGGAAGAGAAAAACAGCTACAAAGTAGTCAGGACGTGCGAGGATGCAGTGGGAGCGGCGGCAGCGTCCTCTGGAGGGAGTGAGAACCACGAAGCCTTGGTCGTTCTCGCTCAGAGCCGTGTACTCATGCACAATCTCCTGGGGCCAGCCTGCATCTTCCTCAGGAAGGGACTGGCAGAGAGGCAGGCCGTAAGTAAGTCTTGACTGCAAACTGTGTGCATCCAGCGGTAGGTGTGTCTCCCCACCATCTCATTCAGTTCCCCCCCCGACTTCTAAGTTATTCCTCCTTCTCCCTTCCTCATCAGCCTTGGGACTGTTTGCAACAGCTAGGTGAAAACATCCGGTGGGTATTTTGCAGGTGGAACTCTAGCCTTTCTCACTGTGCGTATAAGTGAGACATTTTTACATCAAATGTATGTAAAAAAATGAAAAGCAGAAAACACTGACATGATTAAGGTGAGATAGCAAGAACTGTAGATGCTGGAGTCAGAGATAACACAGTGTGCAGCTGGAGTCTCTTGTCTTAGAGATTTAACTTAAAGTCTCCTTCCCTTTGATTCATATTCATTCTCACCCACTGTCCAGGTAATCTGTTGTAAAACAGCCTGTACTGTTTTAGATGGACTATTTCCAATTTAAGGAGGCTAAAGCCAAAAGTATAATTATGGTAGCCAAATATTCGAAAGTTAAGCAACATATGATTCGTATTAATGAGTTAGACTGAAGTAACATTTTCAGTATTTTGCATCAGAGCCTCAGCAAAAAATGCAATATGGCTTCAGTGTCATAACTGTTAGCCTTGAACTGCAACCCCCAATACACACACACACACGCACAGTAATGCTGTGTCTGCAGGCACTTATATCCGTCTCAAATTCCTTGTCTCTTCAGTCAGAAAACCTCCCAATCTGCTGTCTCATTGAGATGCAGCTCCCAGCTTAGAGCACTCACAGGGAGCTTTAATTTACTAACTCTTGCTCACGCTTAATCTTCACTGATCCTTTGAGAGCTTTAGCTCTTCTCTACATCTTCTGCATCTTTAAAAGTAAATCCAGGTTCATTTTGTTGAGGGAGCGAAAGACTTCTTATTGTGACAATACTATGGCTATAAGAGGTGTATTCTGCCCTAGAGATAGTAGGAACTGCAGATGCTGGAGAATCTGAGATAACAAGGTGTAGAGCTGGATGAACACAGCAGGCCAAGAGGCATCAGAGGAGCAGGAAGGCTGACGTTTCGGGCCTAGACCCTTCTAGACCCTTCCTGCTCCTCTGATGCTGCTTATTCTGCCCTAGTTTTTTTTATGCAGAAAGGTTGAGACAGAGGTGCAGAGCTGTTTGCAAAACAGCCAGTAAACAGCTTGTGAGGCCTTGGGTTTTAATTATAAAGTTTGAACAACAGAAGCAGCCTGAATGGATGGGGTGAAGCTCCCACAAAACCAGGATTTTTAGTTTTAGCTTTCTGCAGTTGCTGGGTCTTGAAGCTGGATGTGCAAGCTCTGAATCTCTCACTATTACAGCTAAAAGGTGGGGTTCTCTTCCTGCTACTAGAATTGTATGTGAGACACTCTATTTTGCTGATTTTTGCCCTTGCCAAGGGTGTATTTATGGAATGTTACTACATTGAAATAGTTCATTAGTAGTAGTTAATATATATATAATTTGTTAAGCATTTCAGTAAAGTTGCAGTCAAGCCAGTTCTTTTATTTGTGCCTGTATTTTAACTGTAGTGTAAAAGTAAAGTGTGTTTTGCTTACATTTGAGTAGTTTGACCGATCAAATTGCACCTGGAATGCAATGCCTTACACTTACCTTTAAAATAAGAAAAAGTTAGGGTCTAGGCTATTTTCTAAGTAAATTTTGAGGAGGTTTGGTCAGGTCCATAACATTAGAATTTGTGTGGCACTGGCAACTAGTAGTCAAGCGAGGAGTTTCCTGTGTGTTTCCATCAAATTTCCATTCTCATTGCAGATTTCCCGCAAGTGGCAGTGCTTTGTAACATCAATCTAATAATGTTCAGATTTTGTCAGACGCATTGTTTCCTAAGCATGTTGTTACACATGGGCAGCTTAATATAGCTTCTCTCAGAGCAAAGTTTTTACTTTGGGCCATTCTTTGGTGGAATGATAACTGATCCTGATTATAAAGAAGTCTTGTTCAAACAAATATACTAATTTGACTGCAGTTGTTTTATAGGTCTGTTTGTATGCATGCATGTATACTTCATGTGAATATTTATTGAAACAATCTAGTACATTATTTGCCATGGTCACCGTGGTGTATGAGAATCTAGTCTGGACAAAATCATTTTGTCAACTCTTATCTGTGTCACTTCTGAGGTTTGAATTCAGGGACATTGTGAATAAGAGGCATACAAGCCTTTTATTACAAAGGCTATTTGCAATACTGTCTTCTAAAGTTTACCAATGCAGGAGACAAAACATTTCCAACATTATTTTGACAAGACAGTGAGGATGGGAGCTAAATGGCTCCCAGTCAGTGGTGACCCACTGAGCAGAAGTCTGTCTGTGCACCCCCTGAAGACTAGACTAATGTCCATCTGTGTATGGTTGTCAGAAGGAGGCAGTGTTCTGAGCTGGCTTACCCTCTATCTCTGATAGCCTGCCCCTTCCCAAACCCGTATTGTATCTAACCATTCCTCTTGGTCGGGAGTCAAGGAAATGTGAAAAGGAGACTTTATTATAGAAATAACCCAGGACATGATCTTTGGCAGTTAGTTCTTCAGCTGCCTAGTTAAGCTCTGGAATTCCATTCTCAATCTCTCTGTCCATCTTCCTCTTCTGCATACAACTATAGAAAACTCTTGGTGGTCTCGATAGACTAGGCAGAGGAAGAAAGGCTGGTGTCTGTGAACCAGCAATCAGAATAAGAGATTTAAGACTGAGATGAGGCTGAATCTTTGGAATTCTGTAACCCAGAAGGCTGTAGAAACTCTGTCATTGAGTATTTACAAGAGTGATTGATGGATAGTAACAATCAAGGGATAGTGCAGAAAAATGGCATTGAAATAAAAGATAAGCCCTGATCTCATTGAGTAAAGGAGCAGGCTTCAGGAGCTGAATGGCCTCCTCCTATGTTCCTTTAAGATGCTCCTTAAAATGGACCTCTTTGACCAAGCTTTTTGCTCGCCCTTGCTAATATCTAAATATGTGGCTTGTTGCCACATTTTGTCTGACAAGAATCCCCTGAGGATGCCTTTGGGATGTTTCACCACATTAAAGGTGCTTTATCAATGCAGATTGGTGTTGCACTGAATCTGAAAACAGTGCTGCTCGGAGCATTCACCAGTCTGTCCTTTAGTGCCTGCTGCATACCTGAGCTATCTGGAGCTGTAATCTGCTTCTAATGCAGCCTGAACTGATTCCTCACACTGCCCTGTTGTACCATGACTGTTGTTTTATTATCTTTTTTATTTAACCCTATGGTGGGAGGTGTAACTGTTTGGCTATTAGAGAATTAAAATCTTAATTGATAGAAGTTTCTTTTTTCAAGAGTATATCTTTTGGACTGTACATTTAAGTCAACAATAGCTGCAGATTTTTTTTTTGTTATCTGACCACAGCTGACTCAGGACAAGGACAAGAGTCTGTAATAGCATATGCAGATTTTGCAAACTCAACCTGATTGATCAGATGAATGGATGTTCTGGATCAATGAGCACAGCTCCTGAACACCATGGAAAAGATTTATCAAATTAATGCCTCTGACCTGTACATCGCGAGCATTAGTCAGAATATCAGGTGCAGTGTTTGGGTGCAGCCTCCCTAGGGTATTGTGCATTTGATTTTGTTAATGTGGGAAATCTACCCCTTGGATCACAGCAATAAATGAACAAGTTGCCTTCATTGCTCAGACATTGGAGTTGCAAAGTCATGTTGAGGTTGTACAGGACATTAGTGAGGCCTCTTCTGGAGTACTGTGACCAACTCTGATCGCCCAGTTACAAGAAGGATGTTATTATGTTAGAGAAGGTTCAAAAGAGATTTACCAGGATGTTGCTGGGTATGGAAGGTCTGGTTATAAAGAAAGGCTGGATAGGCTGGGACTTTTCTCACTGGAGCATTGGAGTTTGAGCGATGACCTTATAGAGGTTTATAAAATAATGATGGGTACAGATAGAGTTAATGGTAGGTGCCTTTACCCCAGGCTGGGGGATTTCAAGACTAGGGGACGTATTTTTAAGGTGAGAGAAGAGAGATTTAAAAAAGACATGAGGGGCAATTTTTTTTTTACACAGAAGGTGGTTTGCATGCGGAATGAACTTCCTGAGGATGCAGGCACAGTTACAACATTTAAAAGACACTTAGATAAGTAGATGAATGGGAAAAGTTTGGAGGGATATGGTCCAGGAGCAGGCAGGTGGGACTCATGGTCTGGTTGGACCGAAGGGTCTGTTTCCGTGCTAAATGACTGTATGACTGTATAAATCAAACTTGTGAACACAAACGCAATATGAAGCTCAGTTTGCAGTCCAAACTGCTGCCGCTGCTTTACATCAGTTATTTTTCAACTAGTTTTTTCCAGGGAGGATCCATCTGTGCGAGACTGAGGGAGGTTTACTCTTACCTTGAGGTTATTGGCACTGCATGCTTCATGGAGAGGTGTAATGCAGTATTGTACTTTGCCACAGGTGCAGCTGATACAGGCCTTCTGAAATTCTGTGCTGTCCGTCCTGCGCCTATTTGAACAGCTTTGGTACGACACTTTATGATCTTAGAGATTGCAAGAACTGCAGGTGCTGGAGTCAGAGATAACACAGAATGGAGCTGGAGGAACACAGCAGGCCAGGCAGCTTCAGGGGGTCCCGACCCGAAACGTCAACTTTCCTGCTCCTGTGATGCTGCCTGGCCTCCTGTGTTCCTCTCCAGCTCCACACTTTATGATCTTATACCTGTTTAATGCCAGAGTTGTTTAATTCATTGGATGTTCAGGTAGGCATTGAATCAGCAGGAAGGGAAGGTTAACTATTGCTCTAGTAAAGTGGAGGGGGTGTTCAACTAATTTAGTGGCAGTACGAACACCCAGATGAAACATACTGAAGACAAGTAAAGCGCATGGAGCACTGGACAGTCAAATTACAAAAGTAGAGAATAATTCAGAAATAAGAGCGCCAAGATGGGTGGTAAATGTCAGGCAGTTTTCTCTGGATTTGCACTTCATAGAAATTCATG